GTATGGCTCCTATGCTCATATTAAATCAAGAAATACTTCATACATCACTTGGTTTAGCTACAAAAACCTATTATTTTATTTGGTCTTAGAAGCAAAATTCCAGTCAAAAAAGGATTCGCGATATAGTCGCAAATTTGACTACGCAAAAAGAAGGATTTGCGGCGTGTTCGAAACCTTGGATCAAACGTAACACACACAGTGTCACTACTTACCTGAGAGAGATAATTAAAAAAGCGATATGCTTTCAATAATCCATCAGCATGCCCACTGAGGTTAGTTACAAAAACCTATTTTTTCTCATTATCGATTTGTATCAGGTCAGTGAAACTAGATCATTGATTTTTGTCATTTTTTTGTAAATTATCTCGCTCATGAAAGTAGTGACACTGTTATTTTCAATAAAATGCTTAGTAATTGATGTCATATTGTATTAGGTTTGAGCCATGTTGTTAGCAATTTGCAAGTATATCGCAAATTGATTGATCGAATTTCCGTCTTAAATTTTGTGTTCTGGCCCAAAAACAATAAACCCTACTACATATTATCAGGTCTTTTATGTTTTTACCTCCAGCGCAATCAAACGTAGAGTTCTGTCATCCGCGAAGGTTAGTATAAAATTTCTGTAAGAATGAGCGTCACGAAAGGAGATCAGCCACAGCAATAGCATTGGAAACGGAGATTGATATAGTTGTGAGCTCAATAAAGTAGCCTGGACCTGGAAAATTTCATCACTGGGTTACTATCTTTAGGCCCAATTTCACCAACAACAGTCCGTTATTCTTCACCTATAGGGTAACAGACCGTCAGATACAGCGAATGAGCTTCAAGTTCCAATCAACAAATTTTAGCAACCAATAGCTATGAAATGTTGAAAACAAAATACTGTCAAAGCATGAGATGACAACTTGTCATTGAAACATTACCAGCTTATTAAATATTAAGAAATTACACATAATTCAGTCAAAATTTAAAGATATGTTTGATTTTTGAATTAAATTCATGTTTTAATTACTATTGTTATTGTTGATTTTTTATTCATGTTTATATTATTTTCTTCAATTGATATGTGATACTGGGTGTTTTTTCCTATAAACCTCTTGCAGATAGCCATTAAGTACCTACTTGATGGCAGGCTCTACCAAAAGATATTGCTCGTTTCCAAACATTCATTCATTTACTTGCCGTTCATCAAAACCAGTATGGTACCTTAGATTGATATTCCCACAAAACCATTCAGGTTTTTTGATATCCATACATCCATAAAGTTGAATATTTTTCGATGTTCAGGAACTGAACAAACATCCACACTATATTCACAGCGATTAAGAAGTTCCCAAATATATGCCTTAAAGCTACCAGCAAAACTATAAAACCTGCAAAAAAACTAAAAATTTGCCATATTTTTCTTTTTTCACGAGTATACATTCTAGATTATATTTATATTAGACATTATTTGAATACAGCTGATTATAGGCGTATTTTTTAATTCACCGGTTGAGCCACCGGTGCAACCAATTTTATTTCTAATTTCCGTCGGAGCGACCGGTTGTACACCAAACTTGTCTATAAACTTGTATATATATATAGTTTATAGACAAGTTTGGTGTACAACCGGTCGCTCAGACGAAAATTAAAGGAAGTAAAATTGACTAACCGGTGAATTAAAAAATACGCCTAATTGCATTTCAAGGAGTGACACATGTGTGGGATCTGTCAACTATTGGTACCAGTCACAAAACATACTCTGAAGGTTTAATTCCATGCTAATCAATCACAATACGGTGACTTTTGTGGTTGTCAGCGGCCATTTTGTGAGGATGCGACAGGGTTGCCAGATTGTGCATTAATATCCCATTTCACCCTCCTGTTCCCAGTGGAGTAAGTTCCGCCAACTGTTGAAATATACTCTACTATGCTTTATAAGACTATTCGTGACATTTTTCCCAAAATCATTGCACAACACTTGAAAAAATGCAAATGAAAATTTAAAATTATTTCCATGACGCCGCAAAATAGCTCCGTCGGTACCTTGGGTTATACATCTTGACAGTAGGGATGTTCGATAGGATCCTATATATAGAAGTATCAATACATTTCACGAGTATCGTCATCTTTCGATCCGGACTGTGTCAGAAAGAGTGACTGCCATTTGGCTGCGACGTTACCCTGCCAAATCAGATATATCTTTCATCATTTTCAAAGAAATTGTACAAAATCTTCAAATTTGTGAAGTTAGCGAGTTTCACTTCATACTTTCTTACCAGACATGCCCAAATCATCAGTTGCTGCCGTGATATTCATCCCGACTACTGCATCCCCACGGCTAGGCGACCTGTATGTTAAATTTGTATTGATAGGGCAGCAGGTTATGCTATAAATCGTATGTCACAGTGTTTGTGCACTGATTGCAACGGTTAGATGATACCAAAAATATTTTCATAAATAGGAGATCTTTCCCATTCCGGATTGAACAATCTACCAAAGATGCTTATAATCATGATACCTAGTAAATTTTCACGAAAAAAATGCAAATCAAGCAAATGTAAAAGATTCATTTCGCACCCTCCACCACGGGACGTGATCGTCGTTAGTCTTGGCAACCCTCGAGTGACAGATAGATATCCCCGCCAGTCAACGATCGCCAGTCAAAAACACAAACAATAAATATTACTAGTTTTGATGATTTTTGGAAAAGAGGACATTATTTGTGAAACATTTTTCATAATTTTTTGTCTATGTTCATAGTAATTGCATTATGCATCAGGGAGATGTAGGGATTGACACGTCTTACACATATTATCTGTGTTTTTGATGGAGAGGACATAATGTTTTTATTGCTTTGAAGAAATTCATTAACCCATAAATTAATAAATGATTACTATTATGATGTAAAGGAAGATGAGGAATTGGATGGAATGTATTTTATATTCTATTTTCTTGCAAAATACAGACAAATCCACACTATTCAACAGGTATGTAATGATAACTTTCAGTATATTGAAGCTGGTAAATTCGAGAGTGCCATGCATTAACAAACGTCCAAATCTGCTGCTAAATTTAACAGCTAGAAAATCGACCTATTATTTGCCGCATTCTCATTCGCTGAGGGGGATAACGGATTGTTAAATGTAAACCTATAACATAAATATATGAAAATACATTAAAGTTGTCCTGTTTTTTCTGTACAAAAGCATCATGTTGGAATTAAAAAGTGGTCTTGTTTATAATACAGTCGATTTTTCACGATTTTGTTCAATATTTCAATAGAAATCACTAATATTCAAAGACCTTTCACAGCTCTGCGTCAATAGACTTTCAGGTCGCCCTGTATGTAATACAACTTCGTGACACTGAAGTCTGGTGTCAGGTGATACAATCGGAGAATATATTCTCGACTGCTTGCTCAGCGAACCCATAAATCAGCTTCTTATTGAAGCCGATCATTGCAGATACCGTCGAACACACTCAAGAGGAATCAAAAGTACATTCAAGGCGCATTCGTCGACCTAGAAGCATTTACTGTACCAATCCGAGATAGTAGATGTTGAATAGTGTTGGGATAAATTGGATGTTGGGAATATTCGAATATTCGTTGATGTACAAAATACATAATTTATAATTAATGAACAGGGATATTTTATACTGAAGCAGCTACGTAGGCAGACGCATAAATACCAGGGCAGCAGAGCTGCTATCATAAGCTTAATCCGATTTTTGAACTTCCTAAGGTTAGTTAAACTAAAAAAACCTCCTCAGGTAGATTTTACTACAATCTTGATACTCTAGGGACAAAGCAACGGTCGTATCGGCCAGTTCTGGATATACGAAGTTTCGGCACGGTTAATATGGAAAGCCGAAGTCAGGCGGGTCTGTCTGGCTCCGAGTAGAGATCTAGATCGCATTCAGCCCGTCACTGCGAAACTATCCCGAGACTGTCCATCAGAAACGAGTCATTCATTAGTCGGACAGAATGTGAGCAATACTCGAGGTTAGGTCTTATCTGAGCCTTATCCAGAGTCAGGAGGTTATGCGGAGAAGAGTACTTCTTAGCTCTAAACAAATAGTATTTTCCCAGCAGCTGCCGCTATTGACGAGATCGGTTCGTGCCAGATCAAGACCTTGGTGATCTGGATTCCGACAGACGAACTGTATGGGTCTTTGGTAGAACTACAATCCATCAAAACCGGTTGTTAGTCACGGTACAGTACCGTGTTTTGGAAGCATTAAACTGTACCAGATTGTTGGGACCCCAAGCAGTGATAACCTCCATGTCCCTGGTTACAGAGAAAGTTACTGCTAGTCTTCTTCATCCAGCTCATGGCGGTCGTTGATATGTAAAGGGAACAGTGTCAGAGCCAAAGCCAATCGCTGGATCGCGTTGACATTGTGGAATAAAGAGGAGTACCCGTCAATGAACTATAGGCCTATAGTTGTAAGGGTCGGTCTTAGATCCTTTTTTGGGGATGGGCTGAACATGAGCAAATTTCCAGTTTTCGGAGAAGGTCCTGATTCATAAGATATTTGAGGGACGCAAAAGGACTGGAGCGAACTCCGCTTCACATCTTCCATACAACGGGAAGCTTTTTTGATCTCGAGGAACAACAGCACCCGTCTTAACGGTCTTATGCCTGAAGGATACTTCCCGCATAGTGTAGGAAACCCTTTGAATCAACGGCACTTGGGCGTTACGTGGGACGTCCTGGGTGGAGCTAGCGGCAAAGATCTTAGCAAGCACTTTCGCGTTAGCCTTAGAGTCGGTTACAATCGGGCAATCCTGGCACGGCATAAAGAGATTTTCTTCGAGCGCAGATTCTTGCACTGAAAAATACGAGGGACGTCTTTTAAGATTTGCATATAGAAACATAGTAGGTCGCGCGGATCGAACGTCAGTACTGGATCTTAACCTCACTCTTTAGTAAGCTTAAATTCAAAGTTTCACAACAATAGGTGCAGTGTTCTCACTACAGTGAATTTTTAAGTGTCACCAAGTCATTAGAAAAATGGAACTCAACCGAGAACATTTTCGCGCCATAATTTATTACATCTTTCAGAGACAATTATCGCAGCAAGAATGCCTTGCTGAGTTACTGTCTGTTTTCGGCAACGAAGTGCCACATCAGTCGACAATTTCTCGTTGGTATGGAGAATTCAAACGTGGACGTGTGAGTCTTGAGGACGATCCCAGGGTGGGTGCTCCAAAAACAGCAGTCACCCAGGAAAACATCGATGCTGTGCGCAAACTCATCACTGAAGATAGACATGTGACATATCGCGAGATTGAGGCATCCTTGAAGATCCCAAAGACCTCAAACCAACAAAATGTACATGAAGAATTAGGAGTAAGAAAATTAGTTTCTCGTTGGATACGCCACCTGTTGACTGAAGAGCAGAAAGCAGCCAGGGTTAATTGGTGTCAAAAACGCTTGACCGTTTCAATTCCGGAAACTCAAAAAATGTGTATAGCATTTTTAATGGTGATGAATCGTGGATTTACTGTTATGAACCAGAAAATAAACGACAGTCGACTGTTTGGGTGTTCCAAGATGAAGAAACGCCAAGAAAAGTGTTTCGAAAAAGATGGTCGCGACATTTGTGTCAAAAGCGGGTCATATTGCAACAATTCCTCTGAATGAGGAAAGAACTGTTACTGCGGATTGGTATACCACCATTTGTTTGCCAAAAGTCATCACCGAGCTTCGAAAAATCAAACCCGAAAGAAGAATCATCCTCCACCAAGACAATGCAAGCTCGCACACAGCCCAAAAAACAAGGCAGTATTTAACGGAAGAAAACATGGAATTATTGGACCATCCTCCATATACTCCCGATCTAAGTCCTAACGATTTCTTTACTTTCCCGAAAATTAAAAACAGACTGCTTGGTCAAAGGTTCCAGTCACGAGAAGAAGCAGTTGACGCATTCAAAAACGCCGTTTTAGATCTGCCAGCAAACGAGTGGAATAAGTGCTTCGAAAATTGGTTCGAGCGCATGCAGATGTGTATTAATCTTCGTGGAGAATACTTCGAAAAACAATAATGTCATTTAAAACTACCTACCGTGTTGTTTTATTTCCATATGCAAAACTTAAAAGACATCCCTCGTATTTCCGGAATTTAATGCCGCATTTGAAAAACAATACACCTAACTACGCATACACTTAAATTCAAAACTTATGTAGTTATATGAAATGCCAAAAAGCGTCATCTTAAATGTGGAAATTACATCACACGTTTAAATGTTTACAAAAAATCCACCTTCTTAATTATATGATCCATTAAATACTAACTAAACTTATCTTTGATGATTTCTCGCTTGAAAGAGTATTATTTAAATGTGTTACAGTAACAGTGACAGAAATTATCTCGAACAGGCTTTCGCTTCTGGTAGTAGAAAGGAAAAAATCGTCATTGTTACCTCAATTAAGCTCCGCTGGAAATGTTTATAACGCAGCCATTGGGGTTGCACTAAGCGTTTATATGGTGTATAGCATGCAGTGTAAACGGGCACAGCACGGCATAAAGACACGGCACAACACAACTTATTGATGTTTTGTGGCTCTGTAAACATATACTAGCTTTCTCAAGATATGAGTTATTTCCTTTTAGAAAGAGAAAGCTATAGCTGCTCTTAGATGTGATAGCTAGACATACCTGTCATCAAACCTACTCACCCAAAGTCTGAAAGTTTCTGAAAAGGCGACGTACTTACAAGAATTTGATCATAAGCTATTTATTCTACCACGATAGTGTTGTTGTTTCGTTATTTAGTTATTTATCTATTTATACACCAATCAACAACGTGGTTGTTTCATTATTTAGTAATTTATCTATTTATACACCACTCAACAGCAACAGCCATTTACAGAATAAGACACAGTTCGAACTTCAAAAATACACAATTAAGCAAATTAAGCAAAAAATACACAAAACCTCACAGAAATATATCCAATTTATCTACTACAATATACTACAAGAGCAAACTAGTGGATCAGAATTTTAAGATGTTTGTTCTAGCGGTAGGTATGCAAATTGTCTAGAATTTAAGCGTGTGACAAAATTACATGTACGCAATATATTGCAACAATTAATAAGATTGTCCAATATATTATGCAGGAAATTCACGAAGATATTCTCTAGAGCAAAGGTTTCTTCTAAATCTGGTTGAAATGTATGTACTACAGTAATTGTCGCTGGATATTTTCAAGCTTATCTATTAAATAGTTGTAGAAAGACTACCCGATTCGATTTGAGTTTAAAATTTGCTTATTTAATATGATTTTGTGTACAATTTGGGGGATGCTTAGGATTTGACCTTTCTGAGAAAATTTTCTTACCACCCGCTCTTCAAAAGCTTGTTGGAGCAGTTACAAATAAACTAAAAGTTATCTCCAGCCGATGATCGCCGTGGCCTTATGCGACATAGCTCTTTATATCCTTTCATTGGCGGGTATCTACAAATATGCAGAGCGTATACTAAAAAATAATACAATAGAACACCGATTATCCGAAATAATGTGGATCCAAGCGGAAATAAATATTTAGACTCATAATGCTTTTATTGACTTGACGGACAGTCTTGCCTCAATTTTCTTCAACAACAGTTGCCTTTGCTGCTTGATGATGTTCCGTTAGTAATAAGAAACAATATGTGGTACATGCATGATGATGCACCAGCGCATTTCAGTGTAGCGGTACGTAATTATTTACAAACTGTTTATCCCAATCGTTGGATTGGCCGCGGTGGGCCCCAAAAATGTGCGCCAAGGTCCCAGACCTCAACAGCTTAGATTTCTTTTTGTGGTGCTATCTTAAGACACTAGTGTACACAAGTCCCATTAACACTGTAGACGAATTAAGAGAAAGAATAGTTGCAGCCTGTGATAGAATAAATAACACTCCAGGGATATTTCAACGAGTGCGCAATTCCATGAGAAGGAGGGCGGAAGCATGCATACTAAGTGAATTGGTTTTCAACAATTTCATTTCGTTGATTTGATGTTATGTTTATGCTATCAGTTGTTGTTGTTCATTACCCCTATTGTGTTTAATTTTTCCAATTAAATTGATAATAATTTTGCAAGTTAGACAATAGAATGTTTTTTATTTTCTTACTCAAAAATGGCGCATCGAAGGAAAACAATTCAAGAAAGATCATTTGTTTTAAATTGAACGGGGAATTCAAAAATAATTTTCATTTGGCAAACAACCATTGCCGTACCATTTTTTTCCTAAAAAATATCGAAGTCAATACCCGTATGCACGCCATTGTTAAAGCTAAAACCTATTTTTGCATTGAAAAATATGCAACTTTGTCAACTTTCACTACGTACTAAATATCAGTGAAATATCTCAAGCGGTAATGAAAATATTAATTAATTTCCATTTTTTTCCTAAAACCTCAACAGTCTGAGTTTTTGTAAGGAAACATTTTTGACCATAGTTTATAAATCAAACTAGCATTAATTTTTCATGTAGATTCCACCCTTAAATATTCGCATATCACTGAGGAACGTAAAATATAAACATGTGGATACAAACTTTCATATTTACGAGTATTTAAGAGCATATGAAGTAATTTTTAACTGTACACGTTTTGCATTGTTTTTATTTTTGGCAGAAATATCCTTCCAATGTTTGTTAAGTAGCACATCCGCTGCTGTCGCATTTTCTTGTTGTTCGACGTAAGTCTACGCCTTTTGTAGAGCTCCTAATCCCTCAGAATGTGATATTTTGGCAGATTTCTGTCCCATTGTCTCTAGCAACACTTAAAACTCTCTCAGCGCCATTGTTACAAACAGTTTTTCTTAGTTCTGTATCATTTAATTCTTCCACCAATTCATCAACATTAATCCACTCACCAACATCTGCTTGGGTAAGATTTTCACACCCTGCTATTTTTACGTCGAGCTCGTGTTAGTTTTCGTTGTAATTCTCATAGTCGCCGCAAGGTTCCATTTCTTACTTAATTATTGTCGACCAACATTTTTGTAAAGTAGAATTTCTTACTTGGCTCCATGCTTCTGCTGTTCAACATGCCACATTTTTGAGGTTAATCTCTTTTGAACAATCAACGAGGTTACAACCATTATCCACTTGTTGATACGGACGTGTTTAAATGCTCTTGGTTTATCTGATCTTTCGATTGACAAAAGAAGTTTACGGTAACATTTTATAGTTTAGGCCTTTTTCATCGTAGTTGTAAATTTGTTATGGACCTAGACCACACTGCTTCATTAATTCTTTAAAATTTTCTCAAAATTTTAATGCAGCGGATTTATCCGCAGATAACTTTTCTCCGCAAACTTTTTATTCTCGTATACCGTGTCGTTTTTTCCATCTATGCAGCCAACCATAACTGGGTTTAAAGTTATCAGGCGCCTCAGTAACTGGCAATTCTTTATTTAAGTAGACTGCCTTTTGCTTTAAAATTGGTCCGGAAATAGGTATTCCACGTTCTCGATTCTGTGTAAACCACAGATATACGAGTAAAGTATCATCCACTTTTTGATGTTCCCCCTTTTTCATAGTTTTCCGTGACGGCTGCGATGATGTCAGAACACTAGACCACTTTTCGATTTTCTCGCGATGTTTATTCCATTCTGAAATGGTACTCACGCCCACACCCAAATCACTTGCCACGTTTTTAAGCAATCTCTACCTAAGGTAGGTGCGGGCAATTACGCCCGGTGGTTAATAACGCCCGCTTTTAAATTTGGCGCTTTGCACTGGATTATTTGCAGCTAACCCAGGTTATAAGGAACATACTGGACTGTAGTAAGATGAAGACAGTGATAGTCGACGGCATTAGCGAGTTTGCACAGTAAGTTAAAACCAAGCATACAATGGTTGTGCGATCCATTTTATAAAATTAGGTGCTGTAAATAAGTAAGTAAATTTGTATTTTAGCATGATAAATGGTTGTTATTTTGCACACGTAACGCTTAAGGTCTATGACAAGCGAATAGCTAATAGTTCTGCTCGTTAAGATGTTTTTTCCTGAATTGGCTATTTTTGTTTTAAGTAGTGGTACGTGTAATAACGCCCGGCCAAATTTTGGGTGGGCGTTATTAAACAGCCTAAGCGGGCGTTATTAAACAAATGAAAATATGATATACTTTGAAGTTGAGTCATTAATTTTCAGATAATGATTGTAGAAGGGAGATAAACCAAAATATGTGTGTAAAAATAAAAAAAAATTAAAAAAAAATGTTACCTTGTTTTATAAAGTATCCTCCCGACAAGTATTTCAGTGCGGACCTGTATTTGATAGTGCGGTCTTGGAGCACCGGCATGCCTGTGAGGTCTTAAGTCACCTGATTCACGAGCCCTTTGTACTACATTAACAAAGGCACGAGGAGTTGGATGCACTCGATTGGGAAACCGATTCGCACAAGTCTGTGATGCCGCGGCAGCATTTTGTAAAGACTCCCCCCCGTAAATAAGAATCATGTCCACAAGTTCAGCATTTTCGTAAACATGTGCCATTTTTTATTTCGTTTGAGCCACGCAACAAACACCACTATTCACTCACACGTTATCGACTGACGAAAAGCATCGTGATAAACGTTTCAAATTCTTTCGCTTTTTTGTTTCCGATGCGATGAACCGATAAGGCGGATTATATCCGTTGTTGCCAAACACGAGCACATAATATTATTATTGAGACAGGGCGGTACTCAAACTTCTAAAGGGCTATAACTTTGTTACTTTAATTTTACCAGAAAAATGTTAAAGGAAAAAAACATTTCTTTTGATCAGATCTACTCACTGTTAAAATAAATGACTCAACTTCGAAGTATTTAAACTATTTCAGAAGCGATTAGGCATGGAAAAGAAATCGTCAACGAAAAAGAGGTGTAGGATGGGACGAATCGAATATGGAGGCAGCCATTCTGCCAGTATCAAGCGGGATCTTAACTCAGTGAGCTGCGTCGGAGAGATATATTCCCAGAAGAACACTTTGGGATCACCTCAAAACCGGAAAATGCGTTAAAAGATTTGGCCGAAAAGCCGTGTTAAATACAGAACAAGAGAAAG